CCACCCTCCCGCATCTGGCGCAGGGCGCCGCGCAGGCTATCGAGGACGGCGCGACCATCGCCATTGCCCTGCGCCGCATGCCGGACGCCTCGCCGGAGAGCATCACCAAGGCCTTGAAGGTGTATGAGAGTGTGCGCAAGGACCGCGCGTACGCGCTCGTCGAGCTGGCGGCTGCGTCAGGGAGGGCGCTACATCTGGGTGAGGGCGCAGCCAAGGAAGAGCGCGACAAGCAGTTTGCGGCGCTGAGGCAGGGGAAGGGGCCCGTGCCGGATAAGTGGGCGGACGCGGATGTGCAGCGGGAGATTTACGGGTTTGATTGTCAGAGGGTGACGGAGGAGAGGTTTGATCAGTATTTTGCGTAAGCATATTCTCGTTTTTTCTTTTCTTTTTTTTTTTTTTCCTCCTGCAGAGTTGATTGTATATGTGTATGTATATAGTTGCTGATGGGATAGACTGTAGACATCACTCTCGCGACGCTAAACTGGCATGAATATGATGATGATATGATCAATCTAGATTTACTGCATATATCTATATCCAATCTTCTATCCTATCTACTCAGCCTCAGTCCAGGATTGAGCTAATCCCTTATCTTGGTTCGCTGCGTGGCTGGAACTGGCTGGCCAATTCGTGCCCTAATCGGGAAGAATTCAGGCTATCCATCCATCGGCCCTCGGCCGTCGGCTGTCGTGTCGGCCACGCCAGAGTCTATCATTCACCGTATATCCGTGAGCCCTCGCACGCAACATGGACTAATATCCTCGCGATATTTAATATAGCCGATTATACAAAGGAATCCTTACCCATGAACTTATCATATAGGTATCACTACACCGTCATTCCTGGGGTCCCTGGAAACAGCAGCGTAGTCGCGAGAACGATCTATATAAAGCTCAATTTCACACCACAACGACCTATATCCACCGCATATCCAAATAAACTCTCTAAGGCATCTATGCAAGCACGTCCTAAGTGTCCCGACTCACTCGGTGCTGCGCTTCCTAAAGCAAAAGGAAAGATGTAAAGGTGACTATCTCACTTCATTAACCGTTGGTATAGGACACCTCCTACGGGGAAAGTACGGAGTTTCACTGGGTGTTCTCGTGGACGAGACGAGATGCTATGCGGAGGCAGCCGCTGATATCATCAGGATATGTTATGTGGGTTTATTTCATTTTTTCTAATCCAACGGGATGTCTGCGTGCTATTGAACTTCATAATCGATCCAACTCCAATGTATGCTGCCTGGCTCAACATAACATCACAGACGCAAATAAACAGAAAAGCAGCACCGTGGATAGGCCGTTAACACATCGCGCATCACGCATTTGAATAAGCAAAAGATAGATAGCACACCATGGTGTATGCCGCAAGCATGTAGAAACGCTTGTAGGTCTTGCGGTCGTAAGCGGCTTCCCCCCAGCTGAATGCGCACCGAAGGCCCGAAAGAAACGCAAAGATGGCATGCAGTATTGCTGTAATGATGGCGCCGCTGTATATCCAAGGCTTGTTGAGAAACTCCTTGTCTTGACCGTCCCAATAGAGCTTGCCAGTAATAACCAAAGGCGCTATTCCAGTCCCCACAACCAAAAAAGCAGTTGCCCAGCGTAGAGCTCCATGCCACCTGGGGCCAACAATGACTGGCAACGTCTGGCGGTTCATCTTCTTATCTCCCTCGCTATCATGGAATTCTTGCATATGGACGGTGAGCATGACCCAGGCCGAGAGGACGAGGTAAAAGTCGATCGGCGGCAGAGGAAAGGACGGAACTTCGCTGTAGATAATCTTGTCGATCAGCCGGAACATGTTGTAGACCCCGACAGAGGCGAAGGCGTTGCGGAGCATAAAGTGGTTAATCATTGGCCAGACATAACAGAAGCACGTCCAGAGCTGGTACCAGATAAAGAGGCAGCCAGCCTGGGAACCGGCGAGGTAATATGCCAGGAGCGGACAGACAACCCAGCTGATTGCCCAACGCTTGCGACCACCGGCGACTGTGAGCAGACCAGAGGGAATAGGACGTTGAGGTTTGTTTATTTTGTCCTCCTCAACGGAGGTGACTTGGTTGACAATCTCGAAGACATAGAGATGGCAGATGAAGAGGAAGACGGTCTTTAGGAAAACGGACAAGAGCTGTAGCCAGGGGGTGCTGTCAAGTAGACTAGGAGTAGGCAGGAAGCGAGCCAGCATGCCAACGATAGGCAGAACAAGTCCCTCACGGGCGTTGGCATAAAGGAGCCGCCAGGTAACCAACAGCTCCTGGTGAACTCCTGTGACAGGGTGTTTTTCCTGCATTCGGATGCGACTTGCTCTGTGATCTTCTGTAGAATTGGAGCACTGGGAAAGAGAACATAGTAAGTGTAAATGCATTTTTGCTGAATGGTGCAAATATAAAGAGCCACGGGACTATCAAATCCGAGATGGCCTGTGGTTACTATAACGAGGAGTACCGATATATAGGTTGACTATGGTGGATATCACGCTGGCAGTGAATGGTGCGAAACCCATGGCGACCTTGATATAAGGTCAGCCCTGGCCAGTTCTACTCCGACCGAGAAACCCGAATGAAGTAACCAGGCCTCTCTGTATCCTGCCATATCAAAATCATGTGGTCCATCTATATCCAAACATCATTATCTGCATGACAGAAATGGTCCGTTTTGGGTATTTTTGACGTGTAGGGGGTAGGCCAGCTGGAGAACGATTGGATACCAGCTTAACAGTCGGGCTGTTTCTGGACAGTGGATCATTGGCACTGCAGAACAAAACAGCCAGCAATTCAATTCTATCCCTTTTTTGCCCATTGAAATCTTAGAAACCAGCATGCTCCTGCAATAATGTATGTCTGCAACGGGATAGTGGTGGGGTTGCCGTTCTGCAGTTCTGTGGTCTGCACGAGGAGCAATTTGGAAACCGTCAAAGTTCGGCCGTACTTTAGCCTGCCGCTAGGCGTCGTTGACACGCTTAGGTGCAGCTGGTGGTGTCCTGCGTAACCCGGCCTGCAGAAACTGAATCCTCTGCCTTGGAACTGGGTCAGAAAAGGGTTGCCTTGATGCATATCCGACCACACATGTCCGCTATTATTCAGTTCTTGATGCATCGGTGTTCATTCTAGACCTTCAACCGATAGGTTCGATGAACCATAGCTTAGCAAATATAGTTGGTCTGACCAACGATTTGCAAGCATCAATCTACGTTCACAGAACATGCTTTCGCAGTGTGTGGCTAAAGGATTCGAACCAAACCCACGGGAAGGGATCGAGGCGTTGCGTTGCGCTGACAAGTCATCCAACCCCATCTGTCGAAGATCTTAAGCTGATTATGGCAAGTAACAGTCGTGGCCAGTAATGACTGGCTATTAATATGGATGGAAAGTATCAACGTGAGATCCAAGCACAAATGGGGCTAAGGAGGGCTTACCCAAAAGAGCAACACCTCCACCATGACTGATCAGTTGTCTGCAATATGACACCCTCCATAACCGGCCCCTTGGCACCGGGATTTGGACTTTCCGAATATTCTGGAGGCTAGGAGACTACTAAGTCTCTAAGAGAAGGAGACACCGACATAGTAGCCTCGCAAAGGTACCTTATCAGCACGTTCTGCAGAGCACTTCCATCTGCACGTAACATGAACGGGGCTAACCCCCTTATATTCATGCAGCAGAGAATGGCTTTGTTCAGGGAATAACGCAGCAACAATTCTCGTTTTGACGCACTGAACTCAAGTGCATTCAGTTGTTTGTTGATTTGACGTCATGTCGAGTCCCCTCTTCTGAAGGCCCACTCTGTACTTAGCACCACCAGCGATGGCATGGGTCTACAGACCCCGGACGAACTCCGGACGATATGAATGCGTCTCTTGAATCATTTCTCTCCTCATCCAATTTATGCGGACTATATCCAATAGACCAGGTTCGACTTTCGAGTCTTGTTAACCCTCCTAAGCATCCGAAAGAAGGGACCCGATGCTTCCAATATTTCGGGTCGTGCCATACTCGCAGCTCATCTTCGCACGGTCTGCTTGCTAGCCCCGCTGCAAATCCTCCAATGAGACACTGCACAGAATCTGATAACAGTGCTGGTGCTGCGTGATTTGTCTGCGCTGGTTGCAAAAGCTTATAGGTGAATCTAGAAAGCTGGATGTGTACTAGTAGAATAAGGGCCTGGGAAAGCCTGATAATCCAACGGACATTCAATGGTACCACAGCGGCCGTAACGAGAGCGTCGTCATATCGTGGGTCACACTAATGCGGACTCCTATATCGATTGAGGAGTTAGTAGGCGTCCAAGTTGTGAGAAGCCAAAAGAGGAACTTGCGCAAAGTATGACCTTCAAAGTTCCAACTCTGCGAGACGAGTCAACGGTGAACACGGCTCAAGGGTCATACATGCCTTTTGAGAAAAGCAAAGTCTGAATTGTGTGCAATAAGACAGGACGCTGAATGCCTGCCGCCTGCGGATTCGGTCCGAACGACTCTCTCTCCCCGCAGCGTAAGGTTGTCAGGGCACGAAGCCATGAACCCTTCTGGCACAAAAACTGAGCTATATTCTGACAAATAATCTCGAGTACCAGATGTCTGATTCGCGGTGAGTATTCCGGATGCCGAGTTCCATGTCATTATTGCCGCCTCGTGGGAGGTGGAGAGTTTGTGATATACTTCGATTTATATCTGCTGACTCTGTCATTCCCTGTCCAGTCATAGACGTAGTTGTCTTCAGACAAACAAGTCGATGGAGACTCTGCCTTGAGTGGTAATATTTTCTGTAAATCTCTCGACAGATGTGAGAAGTCTAGTATAGCAGAACCAGTATCTCGGGGAAAGGACATTCAAGTTGGTGCCTCAGGTGTAATTGTATGCCTGAAGCCTTATCGGTATCGGCCGCCGTCGCGCATCGCCAAATGAGATCATCTCGGTGTGATGCATCACAAATCGTTCAATAACATATCGCAATTTCCGAGAATCTTTGAAGCTACTTTGTAGCTCGTACATTCGTTTAGATGCCCGTAGGAGTAAGATGATTCGATATGCCTCATTAAGGCTCGCTTCAGCTAACGGTTCCTTAGACGCCTTCTCCGTTCCGCTTCCCCCCGCGTCCGGGCTCATCTGCTGGACCTAGTGCTGCATCTCAATTTGCATCCACTCCTCGCTTCTTGTTATCTCAGAAGCCGAATGACCCGAAAAAAGCAAAACTAAATGATGAGATCAACACTAGTGATACGGAGGAGCCACCACGATCAACTCCTCTCTCCACGGCGCGTGTGGCGCCGCAGCAAAGAGGACGAGAATTAATTGAGGACTTGGAAGATGATGCGACTCATATCTTCAACTCCGGGCTGAGGAAGGCCGTTGATGATATATCTGATAGCGAGACGAACCACACATCTCCGCCGGAGGGCGCCGGCGATGTTGATGCCGCATTCGATGCGCTTTTCGGGCCGACTACAGTGGATCGCAGGAAGAGACGCCGTATATCCCTGGATGAAGAACTATCAATGACTCAACCTGCAAGGCACAACGCAGACATGATTCTGACTTCTTCGCCGGAGACCTCAGCGCTCATGGCAGATCTGCCTTCGTCGCCAATCCCCTTCCGTACTCCAAAGAAGAATACTCCGACAGCAGCTTCGCGGAGGACTGTAGCTGCTGCACAGCAAACGCCTAGGCCTGCGACTCCGGCAAGTACAGCACCATTCCGCGACCATCCTCGCTTCAAGGTGTTTCAACCGTCATTGAGCAGTCAGTCGCAATTCACCCCAAGACTGACGGCACCATCTGCGTCACAATTACCGACTCCTGGGCCCCAAAGACAGAAGCCAGCCTTTGTCCTGCCTCGCTCTCCGTCTCCTTCACGGATGGACGTTGATTCAATGATTCCGACCCCATTCTCCCCTTCTTCTCATGCTCTTCGTCGGCGAGGCCGGCCCCGATCCAGTACTGCAAACTACTTACCAGGCGGCATGGCGTCGGACGTCCGCAGCTGGATCCTGGAAACCGGAGCCAAAAGCGAGCAGATACAGAAGAGTCTAAATGCTTATTCTAGGGAGCACCAGACCCAAGGGCCGCCTGATATAAGCCAATATTTTCTTGTTCTTCGCATTCTTGACGTTCGTCAGTCTGCGCTGAGCAGCTCTGGTCCAGTGGCTTATATACATGGCGTACGAGTCACTCCTCCCGACGAGTCAGAAAACCCAGTCTCGCAGTCTCGGAAAGTCCTCCTTCTTGGTCCGCCCAGGCGAGCTAGCTTGCAGTCCTCCCGTGCAAGGACTCAAATTCCTGAGCTTCGCGCCGGTCATCTGGTCGGAGTGTTTCGGAGTCTGGTGTGGGAGGTTGCGTTGGAGCAGGCGCATCTAGATAGCAATGTGCCGAGGGAAGAAACGGAAGAGGACGAGGAGCTTGTGAGCAGTCGTGGGTGCGATACAAACACTGAGAATCTTGAGAAATGGCTCGTCGGGATGGAATGGGAACTAATCGACCAGGGTTGAGATGGTGGCATGTATACTTTGCTTTACTTGTCTTCATGATACCCTTGGTTACTATCGGCCAAATCCAATTCTTTGCGCAAATGGCCAATTCTATGATCAGTTTTTGGTCATAATAGACTCATGCAATGCTTTTCTTTATCCCACCGGACACCATGCGCCAAAGTAGGCCAAGAATCCTGACAGAGAATAGGTTATATACAACGGAGAGGGTGTCGTGTCGCACGCAATCACCCAAGACTGACGTCTTCATTCGCCACAACCTTCAAGGCATCCAAAGCGACCCTGCATCCCCACCGAACCAGCTTCTGCTCTCTCTCAGACTCCACAATATCTGTTTTCGAGACCACCTTTCGTATGAAATAGATCAGTCCCTTGACGATCTGCGGCGTGTCCCGCGTGCGCAGGAAGATCTCCATCAGGGGCTTCTCATTCCTCTCGGCTTCCTCATCCTGCTCCGCCTTCTTACCCTTCTTCTTCCCCCGTTTCGATTTCTGAGACTGCTGAATGATAGTGATGATGAGGATCTCAAGGAAGGCCTTTGTCTTGGGCTGGAGGTAGGCGAAGTTGAGCGTTTTCAGCACGCTCAGCGTCAGTGCGCCGTCGGCAATGAGACTGGCGTACATCTTGGCTAGGTTCACGGCGGATTTCATCGAGAGCTGGTTGCGCTCGTCGCTGTCGTCGCCGAACCCAGCATCTTCATCATCGCCTTCCATATCGTCTGATTCGCCCATTCGCTTGAAGCCGTTCCACAGGGTATACATGAATGAGACCTTCATGCGGCGGCCCATTTCACCGCAGAGCCGCCGTGCGATCAGCGTGTAGTACGGGTTGTATGCCTCCTCTTCCATGGCGCAGTGAGTGAGGACACGGGGAATTTCGAATTCCTGCGCGCGTTTTAGTCGGAGTTTCATCAGTCGGACGTGTGCATCTTGATAGTCTGTTGCGGACATGATGGCGACAAAGATGGAGCGGCGGATATCCGTGTTCATGCGGTGTGCTTTTGCGATGCTAGCCAGGTCGGGCTCGCCCTCGCTGTCTTCTTCCTGGACAGCAGCATTGTTGTCCTGCGGCAGATTGGCTAGCTCCTGACGAGCGGACACAAGAGGATCTTCCTTCCAGCTTGCACCGACAAGCCACCACTTGCCCTTCTTCGAGGCATTGTGGATGTCCTCTCGTGAGATACTGATGGGCTCTGAGGCGCGGAGGACTCGGGAGTTGTTCAGAGAGCCTAGGATCTTTCGCATCTTGGTAATATGTTCCGAGGTGATACTTGAGCCAGGGGCCGATTTCAGACGGTTGTTCTTGAGATCGGTGATGGTGTCGATCATGAATTTTGTCCGGACTGACAGCGACTCTTCGCCGACCTTTGCTACAGCAGGTTGGATCAGGAGGACGATGTCTTTCAAGGAGGAGGGGTCATCTTGTCGGAGTTGTGGCCCGGAATCTAATTCCCTTAGTAATATATTCTTAGATAAAGGAGATTTGATAACGTACTTCTGATAATTTTGAGTAGTAACTCCGTGCTCTCCTCGTTGATCTCTTGCAGGAACAGCCGGATATAGTCGAACACCAAGGTGCTTCCGACGACGTGAAAGTTATAAAGTTGTGAGAGTAAAGAGATTAAGTTGATCATTTCCTTTCCATGGAACTTGCCACGCTCGTCCCCAGCGGCATCGAAAGTCTCAACCAGCTTCTGAACAAGCTCGGCTCCAAAGTCGGGCCCAATAACTTTATAGAGCGCAGCGATGAAACCCGCATGGAGGATGATGAATGTATCCTGCAGGGCGGATCCTTCGCATACAAGTCCGAATAGTAGCGTCAAAAGTGTTGAAGTCACGTTTTGTCGAGGGTATTCGCGATAGAGCTTCTCGAATTCGCCAAGGATAGAGATAAGATTCGCTTCCGACAGCTTGTTCAAATGTCCTTGAGCCTGACGCCTCAGTCTCGTAAGTGACTCGGATTCAGACGAAGAGGTTGCTCGCAGTGACGGAGGGATATATTTGCCGGGTTTGTTCTCGGTAGACGGAGCGACAGGCGCAACGTATGGATTCTCTCGTTTCTTCGCGGCAGGCTTCTCTTCCTCCTCATCTTCATTTTCGTCTTCATCCATATCGTCAAAGTCATCTTCATCGTCGTCAAAATCTCCAAGCTCCTCATCACTTCCAAGCTCGCTGTCGTCCTCCTCCGAATCGTCCTCTGGCGTAAGACCTTGCGCCTTCCTTCTCTTGTTCTTCAGCCATTCGTCGGCCTCTCGTTTGCGCTTTCGACTCTCGTCTTCGGACCCATCGCCCAAGTCCCCCAGTAGGTCGAGCAGTCCGTCCTCTTCGAATGACTTTGGCAGCTTCTTCCCCTTCTTCAACCCCAGCTTTTTCTCCAACGCCGCAATTTCAGCAGCATCCGCGTCAAGCTTGTCTTTCACGGCCTGAGAGACCTTGCGGGGCTTTACGCTCGGGGTATCTGCGGCATCCTCCGACTCGGACTCTTCGTCTTCCTTCTGGTTCTTCTTAAGTATCGATTTGGGCTTCGGTTCGGGTTTCGCAGATTTTGACTTTGGCGGGGGTACATCTTCGTCTAAATCTGAATCGAAATCTGAGTCATTCCCAAAATCTGCAAGATCCTCGTCGTCATCATCGTCCTCGGCCTCATACTGTCGAGCTTTCGATTTCGGAGGAGGTCCACGTTTCTTCTCTGTCCGTTCTGTTTGACGTCGGTCTTTTCGCGATCCAGGTCCGTTCCGTTTATGTTTCTTTTCGCCGTAGTGATCTTTGATTCCCAGTTCGGCGCGAAGCGTCCGGGGTAAAGACGTAGTATTATGTTTTGGCCTGGGCCGCCTCATCTCCGCGACACATATAGTAATTTGATTATGGTTCGCTGTCGCAAAATAGATGTCCGCTGGTAATTTTTATGCCGTCGCAAAAAAAAAAAAGCTGCGGAGCGGAGGCGGAATTCACCAAAGGCGGTGTGGGCTAGGTTGCGGAGATTTGTCTCCCCACCATGACAGCGTAGCGCGAAGGTCGAGATCGCTGTTAGACAGTGGAAGGCTGGAGAGAGATACACATACTTGGAATCTCATTGAAATTGTTTCTGATACTTAACTCTACGCTGTAACGGCCAGCTCCCTTGCTTGCTGAGTACCCTCGTCTGTTGCTTCGCACAAAACCTCCCACATCTCCGAGCAAACATCCTCACATCGCAATCACGATGGCACAGCACCTCGGTCACGAAGAGGTAGGAATTCACTAACTGCGCCTTACATTCCTATACGAATTGTGTATCCTGATATTGAATCGCAACTAACTCATCGCAGTTCTTCTCTTCCCTCTCCGATCTGCTTTCCAAAACCTCCCAAAAAGCCCGCGGCTCAGTCTTCCTCACCCAGAAGCCCCTTCTCCCAATCAACGCCAACACCAACACACCAGAGGAGGCTTCTTCTTCATCATCCCTACCTCCCATCCTCATCAGAGCGACAGACGGAAACACAAACGCACCCAATCCCAAGATAGCCAAAGACCAGAACCAGAAGGCCGCAAAGACATCCAAGATCAAGCTTTCGACTGTAGTCGCGCAGGAGGATCTCGAGACTTTCTTTGCGCGGTATGCAGAGGTTTGCAAGGCGGGTATGACGGGGCTCAAGAAGCGGGATCGGAAAAAAGGAAAGGCTAAAGCGAAGGGTGGTGCTTCGAAGGTTACCAAGGCTTGATCTTGGTTGTCTGTGATGCGGCTGATGTTGGGGTTCTGCATTTATGGCGTTAATGCTGGCTTTCTTCTATATCCTTTTGCAATAGATCTTGTTGCAGTGCATGTGGTATGTAAAGGTACCTTAATTGTACGTAATTGTCATGGCTATGGTTTGCTGGCCGTCTCAACCCAGACTGCCTTGTCCAGTATCAATGCCTCATCTGCAAATTTCAATGGAAACGGGTATATTGACAATCGATGATACACGCTAAAGGTACAGGTTTCATTAGGGAGTGCATATCCAATGCGAGACTTGATCCACCCAAGAGTCTTACGATCGCCCAGGTACAGACAGGAAACAGCAAGGAAAGATCATACAAGTGAAGTCATTAGAGAACAAGAATGCAGTGCGCCCAAGCGGAAGGCGTCTGAATGAGAAATGAACGGCATTAAAACACAGTACTGAAAAAAAATAGGCAAGAGAAGGATAGATATGAGGGAAAGACGATGGAGGTGGATTATGACATAGTTAGTCCAGATCCCAGGGATCGAGTTTCTTCGCGACATCCGATCCTGTTGCTGTTCGACGGTCGGGCGCAATAGGGATATCATAGTCATCCACGGCTTCTTGAGAATTGGCGGCATGATATTCCAGTTTTCGGCTGAAATCGCCCATCGCTGAGTTAAGAGCTGGGCCTAGAACAATTCTCGCTGCAATGTGAATCAACAATATGAACAATTGCACTGGAGGCACGAGGACAAGGGTCGCAGTCTTCTGGATGATGGAGGCCGCATCTTGCTTTTCCGGTGGACTACTACTGACCAGAATGGACGGTGGTGGCATAGGCGATATCTCTCGTTCTCGCGACGCTTTGGAGCGCCGGCGAAATTCAATGCTCATGTCGCTCAGGTTTCTTGCAAGGTCGGTCTCAGCGCTCGAGGGGATGTCCAGGAACGACGTGGAACTCGATCCCGAGGACTGGTCCATTGGTAAAGTTTCAGCCTGAGAGGCCGTGCGATTGCCGCGCTCTGCTGCTGAAAAGGATTTCTTCTCGGATGAATCCGGCAGGTGAAATGCCATGTCTTCCGCCAAACATTCCTGTTGCTCTGGGAATTTGTCCGGGCAAGCGACTGACAACGGTGATGCGGTTGTCAATGGGGAATGGATCTCAGCGGCTGGGGAAGGTGGGATTTCGATCGAGTGGAATGACTCGAAACTTGAGGAGTAGGACATGTCAGGACCAACCTGCAGGTCGGAGGCCTCTTCGAACCTTGCCAGCAAGGTTTCGAAGCTCTGTTGTGTTTCCGCCACGGAGCTTGTGGAAAGTGGCAGCACACCGGGAACGGTGGCTGAAGACGGCGCCTCCTCATCATCAGGAACCGTCTCCAGAATTGTGCTATTACTGTCTTTCGTGGTGAAGCCGCTATCGTCGGTTGTATTTCCATCCGTATCTTCCCCAGCGCTTGTATTAAGCAAAGTCAAGTCTTCCGCCGCGGATGCGTTTTCCAATACCGACATTGATCGAACGGGGGCACTTTCTCTTCGCCCCTTTGGGCGCCAGGCCCGCTTCCTCCTCGGAGCTTTCGCTTCTTCGGGTAACTCAACAGTAAAACCTCTTTTGAAGGGGCATGGCGTTACTTCATATCGCAAAACTTTAGATAGCGCCTCTTTCATAGCCGCTACAAGTTTCTTATCTTCCTCAGTCTCATTCGAAAGTTCGATGCGATAGTATGTGAGAGGCCGTATGCGCAGAACAAACGTTGACTCTCCATCCACACACCAACACTGGGAGTTTTTGAGTATTGCATGAACGACGCTCCCACACTTCAGAAAGACAGTAAGGCCATGCACCTTCTCAAGCCTCAGAGGCGCACAGGCAACTGTTCGCTCAGTGGCCGATCGCCATGGAAGAGTTTCGATGGTATCAACAGGATAATCGAAATCGGCGGGAGCGGTACTCGAGGGTATAGGCGCAAGGGCTCGGGGGGAGAAATGTACTATCTTCGCAGACGGGTGGAAGAAAAGGTCATTTTCGGAGGCTGTAGTGCGTAAAAACTCGGAGCTGGGCTGCTTCCGGAGATGTAGTCTGGTAGGCAGAGTAGCAGATCGACGGATAGACTGAATATGAGTGGGGAGTACATCCGAGGACTCGGGCATATTGATAGCAGAAGAAACGACCGATAAAAGGGTTACATTGAAAAAGCAGTAGCAGGGGGGTGAATTACAAAGCTGAATAGAGAGGTATGGTGTAGGGAAAGACAATGAATGACCATGTAATCAAGGAGAGTGAAAGAAGGATGGACCCAAGGAACGAACGACGATTAAGTTATCTCCCGTCAGACGGAAATTATCATGATCATCGAGATCGGCTGTTGATGATGGTTACCGGTTACTATCACTACGGAGCATTATCGTTTCTCCCTCGTGATTTACTTCGGCAGGCGGGGAATAATGTCGCCTGAGGCATCAGTAGGCACATGAACAGGTGGGTCCGCGCGCCTCAGGTCGCCTTAGTAATGAATTTGCGGCCGGCGTCTATCTGGCCAATCACCAATCCGATGACGCATTTGTTCACTGTTTCCTGCATTAACTAGTTAGTTATCTATTTGGCTGCCTGTGTCAGCTTTATTGCCAGACTGATGCTAGCATAACTATGCGGACTACTTCTATTTAAAGGACAAATTGTCGCTGGCAGGGAACCTACTGTCTCTTTTATCTTTCTCTCATGAAAGTAACCCGGCTTGCTGGTTCACTGAACGTCCATCATGTCCAATTTCGAGCCTAATGCCGTCATCCGCGGTTTCCAGCTCACAGTCGTCGGAAGTAAGTTGAACCCAAGCCTTTTTGTCACTTGTAGTCAATCCCTTTTTGGTTGGTCTAGTGGTCCCGAGAAACTTTGGATAGTTAACCAAAGAGGCCCTGTGCATGCTCTCGTGAGCTTAGTCCGATGCTAACATTTCCTGAAAGCTGTTCGAGCTCTGCGAAATCCGGAGCTTTTCAAGTATGACCATTTTCGGCAGGCCGCTCTGGCAATAGCTGTTGGAGTGATCATCCACCTGATTATTCAAATTCCGGTGCGTTATTATTGACACTTTGTTTACCTGGGTCGTCAGCTGCTAAGAATTTCTTTGACTAGATCATCGGTGTCAAGCTTCTCGTCTGGATTGCATCATGGTTCTCCGATCTTGATCGTAGCTCATGGGATGAGTCCATCATGAATGGCCTGAACTTCCTCAACAACTCTGTCCTTCAGGTGCCATTCTTACTCATGACTTTAATGCGATACGTTACGCCAACTTTGGATGAGATGTAAGCCCGTTACACGCCCCATTTTAAAAGGTGCTCGCTAATTGCTTAGCTTTATGGAGTCTTTGAAATGGGTTGACTCAACCTACGTTCAGAAGCACAAAGCTGACGACCCGAAGAGCCTTCGTGCTATGTACTACCCGCACCTGGCGATGTACTCAACCAAAGGAGCTACTGGTGTCTCAAAGCCGATTCCAGAGGCAATGATTCTGTTTCTACGGCGATATGGGCGCAAGTTCGGGACTCTATTGGGGCTCTACATGATCTCGCTTCTTCCTGTTGTGGGAAGATTCGTCATGCCTGCAGCCTCCTTCTATACGTTCCAGAGCAGCGTGGGGACAACTCCTGCCGCGGTAATATTCGGGACAGGCCTGGTTCTCCCAAAGAGATTCATTGTCAGGTTCTTGCATACGTACTTTGCATCTCGCAGTCTAATGCGTGAACTGGTGAGTTGCGGTAGCGTCAGTCTCTCTTCATATCTGACATTGCGTACAGCTTGAACCGTACTTTTGCCGGATCCACTTCACACCAGAACAGAAACGCCGCTGGTTTATGGACCGTCAAGGTGTTCTGTTCGGTTTTGCCTTCGCCTTCACTGTGGTCCTCAAGGCACCCTACATCGGAGTGCTGATGTACGGCGTTGCACAAGCATCGACTGCATACTTGATCACAAAGATCACAGATCCCCCACCAAGTCCCGCGGAAAGTGAAGGTTTCGCTGAGAGCCAAGTCACCTGGAAGAACAAGCACGACTTCCTGCGGCTGTCATTGGATAACCTGGACAAACTGAATCTCCCTGTACAGAACGAGGGGGAAGGGCAGGAGGCAAAAATACCCCAAAGTCCGGGACGGAAGTTCTCTTGAAAAGCCCAGGCTTATAGACCGGCAAGGTTTCAATGCAGCAGAAAGCACAACAGTTGGATCAGTGGATCGTACTCGAGCATAGCGGCGGACACCGAGGGCCAATAACCTGAGGGTGAAGGGTAGATCCCCTGTCGTATGTAGGATCCCGCACCTACCATATCTATCACACCGAAGGCTTCTCGTGCCATGTTTATCATCTAATTCAGAACGATGCCTTTCTTGGTTGGATATGATTTGCTGTTACTCTGCGGAGGCCCGCTGATAAGCGAGAGACAGTGATAAGAATGCATTGCTGATAGGTAGACATCGCGTAATGTGCTCAGTAGAATTGGAGTAACATCTGCAAATTGGAGTAGCATCTGATCCTGTTCTCCCCGCCTGCGGGGTATGCTTGATATCGGATGAAAGGGTAGGTTCACAGGACAGTTTCCTCGGTACCGGAAGCTGACGAGAAGATTCAAAAGGACGTGTTGTTCCTGTGCGATCCTATCGACCTTCTGCGGTTGGTAGACTACGCGTGCCCTCCAACCATAATCCTACCCTTTCTCGGTATATTGCCTATAGGAACGGCTAAGTGACCTCAAAATGGGCGTCAAAGGACTTCGTACCGCTCTCACAGTTGATCTCGATAAGCCTGCTTGGGAACAACCGGGCTTACACGTATGTGCTTTTCAGAGGGCACTGAATGTTCACAATACTGACACATCGCTAGAATCGGTGGCATCCAGATGGTACGTCTGCTGACAGTGACATCGTCAAAGTACTCCCCTTAATAGGAGCATTCTTCCAGTGCCTGCCTATGGCAAGATCGCCAACAACGAAGTGGTCAAGATCGAATGTCTCGACTGGACCGGTGGCCAGATCAAGAACAATGATTCTGCCGATGATATCAAGAACGTTGACCTAACGCAAATCCACTATCTCTCCGGTCCATTTGAGATTGAGACGGCTGAACCGGGAGATGTTCTGCTTGTTGAAATCCAAGACGTCCAGCCGTTCGAAGACCGGCCCTGGGGCTTCACGGGAATCTTCAGTCCCCATAATGGTGGAGGGTTCCTGGATGAGCTCTATCCTGAACCGTACGCTTGTCTTCCCGTTACACTGCACATAACTGACTTCTCTACCCAATAGCGCCAAAGCAATCTGGGACTTTGAGGGAATCTTCTGTTCTTCGCGCCACATCCCCCACGTGCGGTTTGCAGGCCTCATCCACCCAGGTATTCTGGGTTGCGCTCCCTCAGCCGAGGTCCTCGCCGAGTGGAACCGTCGCGAAGGCGAACTGATCGCCACAAACACCAGGGGCCGCGATGTCGCAAAGCCCCCCGAACCGAAGAATGTCCATGCCGGCAGTGCGGACGAGGACCTCAAAGCCAAGATTGGCAGAGAAGGCGCAAGGACCATCCCCGTGCGTATACACCCTCCTCCCGGACCTTATGAACATAACCTAAGAGACTTGACTAGGGCCGTCCCGAACACGGAGGAAACTGCGACATCAAGAATCTCTCCCGCGGCTCCAAAGTCTACCTCCCCGTGCACGTCCTGGGTGCCAAATTCTCCGTTGGCGACCTCCACTTCTCGCAAGGCGACGGGGAAATCTCATTCTGCGGCGCCATCGAGATGGCGGGCGTCATAACGCTCAAGTTCACAGTGATCAAAGAAGGGATGGCGAAGATGGGGATGAAGTCTCCCATCTTCCACCCAGGCCCTGTCGAACCCCAGTTCGGGCCCGGCCGGTATCTGACGTTCGAAGGGTTCTCCGTCGACGAGCACGGCAAGCAGCATTATTTGGATGCGACGGTTGCGTATCGACAGACTTGTCTGCGGGTCATTGAGTATCTTCGCCGCTATGGGTACAATGATTATCAGATCTATCTGCTGTTGAGCTGTGCCCCTGTTCAGGGACATATTGCGGGACTTGTGGATATTCCTAATGCGTGCACGACGTTGGGGGTGCCGATGGACGTTTTCGATTTTGATATCCGGCCTGAGGCAGAGGTGGTCAAGATGGATATGGGAAGTTGTGCCTTTGCCAGCAAGTGACTATGTTCTGCTACATACTAGGTATCCTTTACATTAGTGTGATTTGCCATGTTTCCTTTCTTGTTGCATCTGCCTGTGCCTTACAGAACGAGATTTACGCAATATATTCTCGTCGGTCTCTTCTTTCTCCTCGAGCCCATTGAGCGGAAGGGTGATTCCCTCCTCAACTTCCAAAGCACGGTGGCTAACTTCAAACACGTTGTCTATACAAAGCTTCTTTCGAAATATGCTAGCTTTCAATGCGGCGAACACGCCGCAAGGTCTATAACCGAACTCTGCTCTCTCCAATCTTGGTCCACTGATCCTCTCCGAGTTGCTGAAAATCCATGATCCTGTCAGGCCCGCCAAAGCGATTCTGAGTCGCTCTCCAGTCTCGATTGACAGCCGTCTCCGGCCTCCATCGAACGACGTCCTTCACCTCCTTCTGTAGTTTACTCTCTAGAGCATCCGCGATAAAGCCGCCGATTGTAGGCATTTGCATGGCGCCATTCCCAGAGCCTCCAACAGCGACTACCAGCGAGGGATGTTCTGGATGCCTGTCGATCAAGAAAGCGCGGTCTGGCGTATCAGCGTCCCAGCAAATGCGCGCGAAAGACAGTGGCCGGTCAGCCAGATGCGGCATTGTATCATGGAGAAAGTCTCGTGCGCGGGCTTCGGCCTCGAGCGGGATCTGATGCTTCGCGAAGGGGACACTCTTCTCCTGACCAGGCCTGTCTGGATCAGAGAGAAAGTTGCAGTACCCTGGATGTTCGTCACAAATCTTGAGCTCGTGTTTATCTTCGTCAGGCTCCATGAAGAAGCCTTTGGCGATATTGAACAGTACGGGAAGGTTCCGGTATTGCTTGACCTCCTCCGGATCCATCTGAATATGACAGAGAGTCCATGCGGTAGGCCGAAGCTGCTTCTTGAAGTCTAGGAGACTGTCACTGCCAGCACCTGCCGAAAGAATGGTGTGATGGGCTCTGTGTACGCGACCATCGGCAGTTCTGGCTCCAACAACATCACCGTCCTCGTACACTAATGATATGACATCTCCTTCCGGAGAGCTAGTGATGAATTTAACTCCAAAGCGTTTAGCCTCGTTGAAAGCAGAGATCATGGCCTTTTTGGCGTGAATCCACCCAGCGCCAGACTTGTGCCACCAGCCTTTCCAGCCAGGGAAGTCGCCTGTCAGTACGCCTGGCGGCATGGTCCGGCGGAAGTCCTCGGCTGTCTCCAGCTTGACGAATTCTGTTTCCGACGGTTCAACGTCGTCCTCTCGTATATGGTCAATCAGAGCAGGTGCGTGCCCCGATATGATAAATCCAGTTTCGTGAAAGTAAGGCTGGAAAACGGGATCAGTTTTCCAGGCTTTTAGAGCAGTCCGCGTAAATGCCGAAAAGGCTGCGCTTCGGGGGTCGGATGAGCCATCTGTCTAACTGTTAGAAAACGGGGCATCCTCTTCATATCTCAAAAAACTTTAGTCGTACCCTTGAGCTCGTTGTGCTCCATAATTTTATTGATGTCATTGCCTGCTGCGATGGGCGAAGGAACTGGATGAGGGTCGAGAACTGTGACATCTTTGTAGCCTCGACGAGCGAGATGTAGAGCAGTTGAGCAGCCCCATGTGCCTGCTCCAATAATGACAATGGAAGATTCAGTGGTCAAGTTTGAAGGCGCCATTGTACCAGTTTGAGGCAGCGTACACTAGCAAGACGGATGGGAGGTACGGTGCGTCAACGAGATTCATCTGCGACTGGGAGTGAAGTTGTATTTCAATGACAGAAATGGGGCACTCTATCATGCCATATCAATTCAAATCTCAGTGTCGGATCATTCCGAGCTGTCTGCCTCAAGAATGACGCTACTGACAGAGACCGTCTTGTCGTTCGGCTGGTTTTGCCCCGCCTCGGGATTTCTTGAAGCTGCACCGGCTGGACCTTCCTTGTCGCTTGGACACATCCAGAAAGTCTGGGGAAATCATCCAAGATCGTCGTGTCTCCGCATCTTTAATCAGACCCGTAATGATGGATAAAGAGCCTTGGTCGATATGCTTGATCTGGCCTATCGCCTGACCAACCTTGAGATGAAGGCATTGGTCGAGCTCGCCGAATTGATAACCCCTGTTGCTTGTACACGGACAAGACAATGAAATCGCGCGAATCTCCTCATCGTTCTGTCTGATATGCTGCTTTTCATTGGAGCTTCCTATCTGATTGTCGTTTGGAGCTTCCTCGTTTCGGTCACTTATCGTATCTTCCCCTCTCGCGAGGTCAACGCATCATGACCCACTGCGCGCTTATCTCATTGCATCAACGCTGTCTCAGAGGCAATGTCGCCTGGCTGCCTGCTATCGAATGGCGTACCTTTTCAGGGCTACCGTGAGGGGTATGGGGTGGTATCGAAGGTCTTCGGGATCACCATCTGTTAGAACGAGATTGTCATTGGAAAGCTACATGCTGAACCCCTCGGCCCAAGGAGAGTTATTGTAACTCTATCACGAGTCTACCATGCCTGTGAAGGTATTTAAGCGGCGTGATTTCCTGTGATACTCGATAGTGGAAGCAATTCTCTCGTGAATATCAATTTGACACATGATGGCTCGTTCGGATGATGTGTACACCGATGTCCCAGGAACTGTATACCTGGTTGATGGTGATAAATCTCATCCTTTGAAAAGATACATGGCGATCGACTAATCTTTGTATAGCATCCGCATCTTTAACTGGTGCTGCCCATGCAGGGCAGGATATCCTTCTGATTCCGCAGCCTTCATCCTCCCCTGCTGATCCTCTGGTGAGTTGAGTTGTATGGCGACTCTACGTCTGATACTGATTCCTTGGCTAGAATTGGTCTAGAAGCAAAAAATACTGGTCTCTATTTCTTATCTCAGCCTATGCATGCGTTAACTCCTTTGGCGAAAACAATTGGGGTGCAGCATGGACAACCATAGCCAAGGAGACTGGAGTTACCCTGGAGAACATGAACGGGGGTTCTGCCCTCAACTACCTCTTGCTTGGATTCTTCAATGTGATCTGGATTCCCACGGCAATGAAGCTTGGACGAAAGATTGTTTACATTCTGAGTTTGCTCTTCGTTCTCGGCAGCGGTATTTGGGGTGCGTTCTTCGAAGGCACAGCCCAATACTACGCTATGCTTGCTATTGGTGGCATCGGAACGGCCGCATATCAAGCTCTTATTCAATTAACGGTCTGCATTAACTCCTTATTGATTGTGGTCCTTTTCTTTTGCTGACGATCCGCCCCAGATCTTTGATCTTTTCTTTTCACACGAGCGCGGAAGAATGGTGGCCATCTACATTTTCTTCCAGCAGCTGGGCTCTATCCTGGGCCTGATTCTGGGAGGCTACATCACCGATGGTATCGGCTGGAGATGGAGCCAGCCTATTGTTGCGATTGCATGCGTGAGCCTCGACTCTCCTGACCTTGACCCAGGATACAGGAGCTGACTTCCATCAGGGCATCTTGATCTTACTATTCATCTTCACGTTCGATGATACCATGTTCCCGAGATACCGGTTCGGGAACAGTGGCCCTTCAGCTGCGAAGACTGAGACTTGCACTACACAGGATGACGCACAAGTGACCCCTGAAAAGGATCAGAAGCTCGAACCCTCTACATCTGTCGCTGTAAGCCATGGCGCAGGTGAAGTCGACATTCCCACTCGGACCTATCGCCAGAAAGTCGCCCTGATCCACTACCTCGAAGATGACCAGACGACTTGGTACCAGTATTTCCGTCGCCCGTTCTACCTCTTTGCGTTTCCAAATATCGTGCTGGCCGGCATTCAATTCGCGTTTGGCTGTACAGCCGGCATCATCTCTTTCAACACCATCTCGGAGATCATGACGGAGCCACCATACAACTGGAGTGCAGGGTCGGTAGGCCTACTATTCCTAGCTGCTCTCGTCGGTAACTTCATCGGGTAAGCATACTAAGAATCTCGTTCCAACGAGAGAGTCTTGACCGTCCCAATCTAACAGTGAACCAGCATGGGCATCGGCTCCTTCTCAGACTGGATCGTGCTCTTCCTAGCCCGTCGGAACAAAGGCTACAAAGAGCCCGAGATGCGTCTCTGGGCCTATATCCTCCCAGTCATCCTCGCCGCTATCGGCTATTTCACCTACGGCTGGGGCGCCACAGCCGGTGACCACTGGATCTCGATCGCCGTCGGTCTCTGCTGCATGATCGCACAGCAAGTCTCCGCAACGAGTATCGCGACCGCATATGCAATGGAGTGCTTCGACCGGGTAGGTATCCCCCTTCAACAGCTTCCCAAACCACCTTATTCCCCAAAGTGAGACAAACATCGTCTGACAAGCTCAGATTTCCGGAGAACTCGTCATCGTCCTCGCCATTTGTTCCTCCTGCATCAACTTCGCCATTTCCTTCTCGGTGCAGCATTTCATCGACGCAACGAATTACGGCTGGACGCTTACATTCTTTGGCATCTGGGTGCTCTTGTCCATGCTTATGGCTGGGCCTATGTTGATCTGGGGGAAAAGCTGGAGACGGAGGTGTAAGAATCGTTATGAGCAATTCCTTGCTGAGACTGGACGCTCGGTTTCGTAGATATTTAAATGCTCTGGTTGTCTGCGTTTGCAGATCGGTTAAGAGATATTAGTTCGCTATCGAGAGAATGTGTAATCGTATTCCTCACTTCCTGAATGTATCTTTTGAACCACAGGCAATCTGTATATGATTGTCGGAATCTCATACTCCGGCCGCAAGTCGCATGTCGCCTTGCAGGACAGTTAGTCAATGGTAATCTACATCTAACAAGATTCAATTTGCGATTCGCTTCAGAGATCGATATACTCGACCTCTTGTTGGAATTATTTTATTCATACGCTAGTTGAACAATTGCTGGGCGTATCACGCGAAAACGAACACAATGCGCCAATCACCATGCTTCAGAGCCGGTAGAGCATTGGCCGAGAAACCCCCATCAGCTCCTGAGGAACCGCAAGGAAATGCAATGAGCATCGCTGCTTTTGTGCGCGACTGAAAGGAAAGAGAATTACATAAAATCATGAGTCATTGACCGATGAACCATGACGCCGATGCTCTATGAGAAGAACTTCCGAGCAGCGGCCTTTTCCTTAGCTTCACGGTCTTTGATCGCCTTCTTGACCTTGGCGATCTCGTTGAGAATGCCAGCGTCACCGGGGGCCAGCTTCAAAGCTTCCTGGAGATCCTTCAGAGCCTCATCTTCCTCCTTCAGGCCACTGTAGGCGACAGCGCGGCGATAGTAGGCCTTGGCTTTATCTGCTTCCTTGGCGTTGGCGGCGTCGGCGACTTCAAGGGCGTAGGTAGCCCAGTTCTGGGCATTCTTGTATTGACCAAGCTTGTTCGCGAGCAGGGACGAGTTGGAGTGAAGAGTGAAGCGAAGAGATTTCATCTGAGGCTCGAGGTCCTTGGGATCGTTCTCATCGGGATCAGGGAATTCGTTCAGGTAGCGCAGGCCCTTCTGGTACTTGTCAAGGCCTAGGGCAAGGTCGCCGCTCTTGAAAGCAGTGTTGCCAAAGTTCTTCAGCTCGGAAGCGATCTTGAAGCAGACCTGAGCGTTGAGCTCCTCGCCCTGGTGATCATCGGGGTAGTCCTCGTAGGGGTCTCCGGTGGCATCGGCAACCTGCTTCGTGGCGTTCTCGTAGTCCTCGCCAGAGAGCTCACCGCAGTCAACGATGGTCACGTCGGTGGTAGGCTTGTCGGCTTGGGTAGGCATATTCTCGATCTTGCGAACAATACTCTTTCCGTTAATCACCTCACCGAAGACCACGTGCTTGCCGTCCAGGTGGGGAGTTGGGACAGTGGTGATGAAAAACTGGCTGCCATTGGTGCCAGGACCAGAGTTGGCCATCGAGAGGAGGAAAGGTCTGTCGTGCTTGAGCTCGAAGTTCTCGTCGGGGAATTTCTCGCCGTAGATGGATTCACCACCGGTTCCATTGAAGTTGGTGAAGTCACCACCCTGGATCATAAACTGCTTGATCACACGGTGGAAAATGGATCCTAAGCGCGCGCAATCGTAAGACTCTGAATCGCGCGTGAAGAGACAGGATGAAGGCCGTACCCTTGTAGCTCAGTGGTTTCCCTTGCTTTCCCGTGCCCTTCTCGCCTGTACAAAGGGCGCGAAAGTTCTCTGCGGTCTTGGGAACGACTGGGGAACGGTTAGTATCTCAACGACAAAAACTGGAAACACGTTTCGTACCATCGTTGAACTGCGATTACACGGTCAAACATTAGTTGAGCGGCCCAATTGACGAAAGCAGACTGGTAACCTCACCAATTCAAGCGCAACACGGCCAGCCTTCTGGCTGCCAATCTGAATGTCGAAGTAGACACGAGGACGACCTGTGATCTCACCAAATCAGTAACCCCTCATCCCGAGGTCCAAAACCCCACACTAGACGGGGCAGTACGTACGCTGGGTCTCAGCCATGATTGCGAGCTAGAAGTAGTGCAATAATGAATGAATGTGCCGAAAGATGACTAGGAAATACAAACAGTGGCAGAGTGAAAGTGTTGTGTCAGAAAGTGACAGGAGTTAGTGAGGAGAAGCTGAGGAATTGACGGACAAAAGTGGGCTGGAGCAGCCCTTTTTGCGATGCTTCAAGAAGCTTCCATCGACTCCGCACTCATTCAGTCTGCGGGCGGTAACTAAACAATATAAGACAACTTCTTCCAATTTTAGATGCATGGAAGTCCGTTGAGGTTGATTCTGGAAAGGAACTAGCCCGAATCCTTATATTATGTGCATTTTGTGAATCTATCTAATATTTACAGCCAAACCCAAGCAACCAAACACCTTTGCAGCATACAGTATGTTAGGTCATTATTCCAGCAGTGATGCTGGTAGTTCAAACTCAATGGTTTGCGTCTCTCCATCTTTCCGTTCGCCCTGCGGCTTATTCTGTCCCTCTGCGGGTTTTTTCTCCTTCGCCAGTTTGGTGTTGATCTCGATTGTGACCTAAGGTTGACGCTCATCGTCAGCACGGCTTGACCTTCTCAATCGGAGACGAGGTACGAGGAGGAGCAAAAGCTAACCGCCGCATCCTCACTGCGGTAATCTACACCCACCGGCCCATCATTCTTCAGTTCGACGTCCATCATGGCCTGGAAGACACCGTTCTTGACCCGCTCGGGTTTGTACGCTTCGCCCAGCCGGCGGAAGAAGTAATCGTATAGTTTCCGTGCTGTCTCCGCGTCGGCTGCATCGTGGAAGTCCGGTTTGCTGCCTTTCTTCAATTGACAGTAGAGCGTAAATTGTGATACTGTGCCAAGTGTTAAAAGGCTGCATTCGAAGATCCTAGCGGGCCAAACCAAACCCACCACAGAGCACCTCTCCATCAATGTCCTGCACGTTCCTTTTCCACTGAATAACAAAACCCTAGTTAGCTCCTGGTACGCCCTGTCCCGGAGTATAGGCCACTCACTTGGCCGCCTTCTTCGGCAGGCCATAACTTTGCCTTCAATATCCGCTGAATGAGAGTGTCTGCGTCCTTTTCGGTATCCTCCTTGCCTACGCCAGCAAGAACAAGCAAGCCGCGACCGATTGACGAGACAAGTTTCTCGTCTACCGTGACCGACGCAGATTTCACTCTTTGGATGACCGCTACCCATGAGTTAGCGGGGAGGGACTTAGCGGAGAGAGCAAGGCGCACCTTTCATGTCGGAGTATCTCGCGGAGTATTCGCTCGAAATTGCTGAAGAGAAGGTTTTATTGTATAGAAATAGTAACTAGACTAGACGAATGTCAGACTTTATTCTCAAAGCGAAAATATGCCCTCTATGAGGCTGCACAAGCTATTCATCAAAATAGAGACGCATCGGGTAATAGCCGGGAACGGAGCTGACATACCTTATTCAAAAGTCACAACAGAGGTATCATCAGTTCCTGGGACCAAGCTCTGATCAAAATTCCTTTGATACAGAGCACTAGAATATTCAACCCATAAAAGAATTAGGGTAGGCGCATTCACGTAGAGTAAGCAGATGGTGATAACAGTGGTTTCGCCGCCTCCGCCTTCGATAACCCTCCCGCACATTGCTTGTTGCCCGCCAAACTCACCGCCTTCACCAGGTCTTGACAACTCCGACAAAGCACCAGGAGATTCATTAAACATTCCCAGCCTTTTCTGGCATCATCTCCCAGCGCGTCTACTTTCGCATTGTCGCCCAACGCCCTTCTCCTCCTTCCCAACTGGAACCGCAGCTTTCAATCCGCCGATCACCTTTCCATATCCCCCTAAATCTCCGAGAATTCCGTTTCTCCCCAGGGCGATCTGTTCATGTGAACAGCAGCCATGACGTCCCGCAAAACACAGCAAGAGATCGACAAGACCTTCAAGAAGGTCGCGGAAGGCATACAATCATTTGAAGGCATCTATGAGAAGATCCGCTCAGCAACGAATCCTACCCAGCGAGATAAGCTGGAGGAGAACCTGAAACGAGAGATCAAGAAGCTGCAGCGATTTCGCGATCAGATCAAGTCATGGGCTTCCGGTAATGAGGTCAAAGACAAAGGACCGCTGCTCGAGCAGCGCAGAGCAATCGAAACTGTGGGCTAACGATTCCAAACCGACTGACACCGCCTTTCCGGGACATGGGAGAAAGCTAACAGAGGTTGCAGTGTATGGAGCAGTTCAAAGCCGTGGAAAAGGAAATGAAGACCAAGGCATATTCCAAAGAAGGCCTTTCCGCTGCGTCGCGACTCGATCCCAAAGAGAAAGAAAAACTCGAAGCGTGCGACTTCTTATCGACCTGCGTGGACGAACTTCAACTGAAGATCGAGGCGATGGAGGCCGAAGAGGAGACCCTCCACGTGCAGATGAAGAAGGGCAAGAAGGATATCACCAAGACAAATCGTTTATCGGACCTGTCGCGGATACTGGAGCGACATAAGTGGCACGTCAACAAACTTGAGTTACTGCTACGAGCGCTTCAGAACGGCGCGGTCGAAACCAGCCAGGTGGTGGATCTGAAGGAGAGTATCAAGTACTACGTGGATGATGGACACAACGTCGATTACTGCGGAGAAGACGAGACGCTCTATGACGATCTCAATTTGGGCGAAGATACCGAGGCGCAGTTTGGAATGGTTGGGGACAACGATCGCGTTTCGTCGCAGGACACACAATCGATCCAGGAGGACGAGCCGGAAGTGAAGGCGAAATCGTCTAAAGCTGACGCTAGTGGGCTCCGCCGGCCATCAGCGCAGATGAAGTCACCTTTGCCAGTTCTCGCAACACTTCACCCTCCAACACCCACCAACTCCACTTCTGGCATGAAACCCGCCCCTCCTCCGACTCGTCCCCCCGGCGAGACTCTCAAATACGCGTCAGCAGCGGCTGCCGCAGCTGCGAGCGACAAAAACGGTGTCGGTATCGCCCCTCTGCCCCCACCGCCTGGCACGAGCCCTGCCTATACCGCCGCCATACCAGTCTCGAGAGCGTCATCCACAGCATCGCCAGTTGTGTCTTCGGTCCAACCAGTATCGAAAGCGGCAGCGACCGCCACCGAAGAGCCTGGTGGACACGGTCGGTCCAAGACTCCAGCTCTCAGCCCCAGCGCCGCAGGGACGCCCGCAGCGGCCAGTGCTTCGAATACGATGCCTTCTACTCCAGCGATGGATAAGGCGAATGCCGCAGCCGCCAAGGAACAGCCTGCGACAGCCAACGGCGAGACAGCCAAGGAAGATGAGCAGCGCGACGAGTCGATTTACCATCTGCCTCCCGGGCTGCAGGATTTGATCCAGTCATTTGAGATCACCAAGAGCCGCGCGGCGAACGGTGCTTCAAGCTCGTCACCGTCGGTTCAGCGCCTGCTCGCAGCATCACTGGCGACTTGCCCGGAGCCTGCCGATGCAGAGAAGCCTCGTCATTACCGACCCTCGAATCCTTACAACACCCCTCTCTACTATCCGCAAGAACCACTCGCCATATTTGATGATCCTCGTCTGTATGACACGGGACGGATCGATACCGATACGCTTTTCTACTTGTTTTACTACCGCCAGGGAAGCTACCAGCAGTACCTGGCGGCCAAGGCGCTCAAGAACCAGAGCTGGCGCTTCCATAAACAGTACCAGACCTGGTTCCAACGCCATGAGGAGCCGAAGAACATCACCGAGGACTATGAACAGGGTACATATCGGTTCTTCGATTACGAGAGTACCTGGTAAGACTTTCTCTTTCTCTTCTCTTTTCTTTTCTATGCAACAAGCTAATCGAGATGCAGGATGAACCGGCGCAAGGCGGATTTCAAATTTATCTACAAGTATCTGGAGGATGAATTATAAGAAGTGTATCTTGGGTGCATATGGGACGGGCTTTCCTTTTTCTGCTGGACAGGTGGCGAACATGGATTTTTTGACAGGTTCATCTTCATCTTCACCATCATCTTTGATACTTGTGGTGGTCTTGAGTGTCCGCATTAGGCTGGTTGGGTTTTGACTGGTGATAGCGGGAATATGTGATATTTTACTTCATCTATTTCCCGCCCTTGTTTTCCCCCTCCTTGTCTATTTCTTTTTCTTCTCATAGTTCTTCTATGGTGTCATCAGTGAACGAGTAAATGATTGGGACAGCAGAACATGGGAGTTCTGCTTAGGCTACTTTCCGTTCCTATAGTGGCTGATCCAGCAAAGTAAGAGACAACACAAAGGTGCCGAGGAGAAGAAAGCTCCAACGCTAGATTCACCGAAGAAGGTTTTTGGTTTTTGTTAAAGCTTAAGATGAAGCAATAGCTCATCTGGGCTGTGGAGCAAGCAGATGACACCCTGGTAGGACCGGGGTGAAGCTTACTCGCTGTTCTCTATCATAACTCCTCTAACCAAGATAAACGTTCCCTGCGTCACAGGAGCGGGGACTGACTATAGTAGACGGGAATATAGTACCTCTTTGCCCCAGTCGTCAAAAAGGACAACTGGCTGACGCAGATCTCTTTCCGCCTCACTTGACCACTTCTCGTATTCTCCCGTGCAGAACGGCCATAGTTTACATCCTACTCACAGCAACCAGAGGTGCGGGATTTTTGAACCTGCATCATCACGATCATTGAGGAGCAGCTCGATGCATCAGATGTACCGTGTAACCCGTGTACGCCTGGGAGCCTTGTCAATCGCCTAGTCTGCAATGGGCTAAGTCAGACGCTAAAGTAGCCGGGGGGCTGTGCGATTGCGTTGTGATCTCCCTTTGGCTTCGTCAAAGTTCAGTCTCAAAAGTCCAAGCCCCCGAATCCGAGGCCAAGCAATCAATTGCAACCGGTTTTCTTGGCGCACTGTGACTGTTGTCATTGGACAGAATGGGGGATGATTCCTTGCATGGTGGACTTGGACGGGAACAAGCCCACAAGGCTGTCGAATCGCGGATTTACTGTGGGTGGACTGTGGAGTAGGAACAGTTGTTCTTGGGCCACTTGGTGGACTACTAGATAGACTGT